GCCCCGCCACCCGCCCCGCTGCTCTGGCTGGCAGCCGCCACGCGTATTACTAGGCACAGCCTGCCTCCTTGTCCACGTGCACAGCCCGCTCGTCCGCTCGCGCTTGCCTCACCATAACTTCGTCGCGCAATCATCTAATAAATTTCAAATCGCTGCGACTCCAGTGGGTGATGGGGCAGACACAATGTCGCAGAAAACTTCGCCGTGTTCCTCACTATATCTCGTCGTCTTTTTAAAACTACTCAAAATACAATGACTTGAAATATTTTTTGATGACGAACTGTTTGTTGTATTAAATTGCAGCTATAATATACTGCTATTAAATGTGGATATACTAGGTATCTGGGCTTTGTTCTTACTTATTTTATATTTATTTTCGTATTTCATTCTGTTCCATAAATGTCCAAATCAATCTATCAATCAATTAAGTTTTCTTTATTGTGCTATTTTCATATTTTAAGGTTTTGTCCGCCTAATCATTCATGAAATTTGTAGTAATGACTTTACCTAAATGTGTTGGCCAATGTACAATAACTGCAGCAGATTTCTTAGTCTTTAGATAAAACTGTGTGCCGAATGAAATGAATGCAAAAAAACAAAAAACATTGTTCCAAGTAACTTAAATTGATCTTCATAATAGCGCCTTGCTATTTTTTCTTATTGTAGTAATGAATAAACATTTATCAATTGATAAACTTGTCTTAGTTTTGCGGAAATTTATAATTATTCTATAAAAATATTTTGTGTATTTTCTTATGTATGGCTGATTGCATCTGGAGGTTGAAAAAAAATTTCGGAAGTAGTTAAAAACGTCAATGTAAACTTTAACAAAATATTCCAAATTCATATAACTGGATCTTATTGGTATTACAAGCATTGTTACAACATTCTGCCTTTTCCAATGGAGACTTCGAAAGCAAGGAAATGTATATGTTCTTTTATTACCACTAGTTCCTTCTTGTGAAATTTTGTACACACTTGATATTCTCAGTACCTTTCCCCTAGCCCATTGTCTGCAAATTATACTCTTCAATACATTGTTTCACGCTATTAGCTCGCCGATATTTATTTCATTTGGCACGTAGGTTCTGAATACTCCCTCGAATGAACCTGCATAAACATTACTACACTTCTGAGTTCTGTGGAACGTTTTCTAAAACCTTCCTTTGAGTTCATAGAATTTACAAGGGTGGTGATGATTTAAATTATTTACTGATTTAAATCTTGAGATAACATTCACTAAAAACGAACTATCTTTATATTTCTGTAACTCTGTAAGTTTGCAATTTATTTGCTTAATTTCTTAACTAAACATACCGTCAATTAAGTTACGTAATATTGTAAGTATAAAAGGAGGCGTAGTTTTAATAGTGGTTTAGTTCCACTTTTTAGAGTAATAAAGTTAACTCCATTTTAAGATGCCTTGAAATCATTTACACTTATTCTGAGAGCAGTTAGAACTCCCACAATTTTTTATGGTCGCCGCACTTCGTAATTAAAGTAAATCACTCGAGATTGCAATCTTATTTATTTTGATAGTGGTACAAGTCCAGTAGTTGCACTACATTGTGTTGCACGTGCCTCGTGACGAGTGATTTTCGAGATACTTCTCGTGGCAGTAGTGATATTAAGGATAACGATCTTGATCCAGATTTTCTAATAGAGAAAATAGTGTAACTATTTCACACATTTCTGTATTCAGAACGGAAATGAAAGAAAATAACATCTGTGCATTAAAAGACCTTCAAAAGTCTGAAACAAAAAGTGGGAAAATTAACAAAACGATGCCTGTAACTGGCTCAAAATTACAACATTACATTACAAAATGGTATTTGTCAAATACTAAACCCTTTATAATGACATACAAGCAAACCTTCAGGGCATTGGTGACTGAACAGTAAAGTTTCAACCCGCCAGTGGAGGAAGACCAAACGAGCTCAAAAACTTAAATATCCTGTTTCACTGCAAAGCAACGTTAATGAGAACAAGTAAAGAATATGCTTGATTTGTTGCCTCTTATACGAATCGTAAAACATGCGTATATCTCTAATCTGCAGAAACAATCAGAATAACATGAAAATAAAGAAAACCGAATGTGCCTTCAAAATTATAATATTAAATTACGCAAAAACAACTCGAAGTTTCAAAAAATTGTACATGAATTTATCACAAGATCCATCTTTGAACAACAGAAAGGAAAAATTCGTTGAGGAAAAATCTATCGTCGATATTGTAGTTGAAGGAAGACGCCAAAAAAGTTTGAATATTTGTAATTTTCGAAAAATGAGGGATTTTAATGAAAATAAGACTCTCACAAGTTTTTAAAGAAATCTGTCCCCTCTCCAGGAAAAAAATCATAAATATAACCCTATTTTAGAGGGAAAAAATTACATGTTTTTTAATGAAAATTTTGATCAAGTTGAGACTTCATGTCAGGTAACACCAAAAATCAAACTATACTTATCGAACTCGCAGTGCCTCGAAATCGTTCAGATAATGTGGAGTAATATAAATTTTGCTTAACATCGTCTAAACGGTTTAGATCACAGGCAGCCGGCCGGACGAACGAACCGACTGCTAGAAAGATCAACAGACGTTTTGCCGTCAAACCATTTTCAGAAATCAAGAATCCACATTCCGTGGACACTGACTACATAATTGTTACAGGAAATAATTTACTACATATTTTGTAACACGTTTTAGCCACTTTTACTAACTCGCATAACTACGTACCTACGTCGTAAAGAGAAAGTATTGTAATGCTGCGGCAGAAATCTGAGATTTTTTTAATAGAGAAAGTAGTTTTATCGGCTCGTGGTGTCGAAAAAGATATATCCTGTCCCTATATGTATTAAAGCAATTACTTTACATGTGAAGTCAAAATTCAAATTTCAAGAGTCCATGATACTGGAAAATGAATTGACAGCAAAACGTCTGCTTCTCCAGTTCGTCCATTTGTGGCCAGCATCTGTGTGGTTCGCCTGGTCGTCCGTCTGGGGCCAACTCTGGCGCCTAAACCCTTCAGGCGCTTTTCTACACTGATCGATCTAGACGATTTCAAACCCATGCGAGTTTGTAACGAAATATGGAGGGGGAGGGGTACTTTATATAAAGTCTCGACATTTTAAAAAAATCCGATTTTTTTTATTGAACTTTTCACTCGGGTAGTGTCAAGAACGCTTTAGAAAATGGTACATGTCTCATTTTCATTGATATCTGGATTTTCGAAAATTGCAAAAAATTAACATTGCGAAAGTACTGTATTAATACGAGTAATAGAGATATTTCCTTAAATTACATCTGTTCTAAAAAGTTGATCTTCAAGGAATGTTATGTACATGATTTTAAAAAAAACATGTTTTTTTCGCATAATTTTTGCTTGAAGTTAGTGCATTTTAAAACTTTCTTCTCAAAAACATCTCTATTTTTTTAATTTAAATGTTTTTCTCGGATTTTTTCATATTACGAATTTTTGTATAACGCTTACGAATACAATAGTCACTCAATGAAGAAATTCTGTGCATATTAGGGTGAGAAAGTAAAGTAGATGTGCAACAGATGGCACAGACTTTCTCGTACAAGTTAGTTTTCTAACATATTTGGCCCAGGATAACTCTTTGATTATTCATCGCGCTCTTTCCAGCTCTCACATCTATCGCTGTCCATTTTTTCACCTTTTCTCAATTTATCGGTTCCCTAATGATAGAACTGATGTGTCTAAAATTACTATATAATATAACCTCGTCCCATATGAATATTTTTGTTTAAAAATTTTGAGCAGACTTTGAGAAAATGTCATTTGAACTCTTCCCTAAATGCGAAATTTGAAGCTCCTTTTCACAGAAAACATTTGAGTTTTAAAGAAACTTCTTTGGAACTCATTTGAAGCACTTCGACTCAACATTGCAATAATCTATACCAATTGCTGGTAATATAAATATTAACGGTGTGAGATATTTAAAAAAATAATTTGTGTAATTTTTGAAAAAACAAAACAAAACAAAATAATTCATCTAAGTGACATTGATTTTATGTTGTTTTGTCAATTGAGCACTTTCCCTTCAAAATAAATTAAAGGAAAATTTGGAGCCGTTTTTGAGATAATAGCATTAAGGCGTTTCTGAAAATGAGGAATTTTGTGCTAATTTTCAGAGAAATCTTTTAATATTCCGAGAAACGTTATAAGAGATCATTTGAAGCACGTATGCACATAATTGCAAAAATGTATACCACTCGCCGGTAGTGTAAATATTAACGACGTGAGAGGGATGTCAAAGAAATGCAATTGTATAATTTTTGAAAAAACAAAAGAATTGAGCAAAATGGCGTTTATGGCATCTATTCAAGTATATTGAACACTAACCCTACCAAAAATTTAACATTTGACGTGACATTTCACATGGCATGACATTTGGAGAAGTTTTTTTTAAATTCTTGTTTTTGATATTTTTTAATGTTGAACATATGTCACGCAATATTGCTCGTAAACTATTGAAAT